GTATTCCTGGTAAGGAGTACGACAAATATACCAAGGAAATCTTAAAATAAAATGCAATTGTCCTGCTATAAGCAAAAGTGTTTCCGAAATCATTGATTCTTCTAAAAGCTTAAATACAATTGGAAATGAAAACTCAATTTAATAACCCCTGTGATTAATCTCAGAGATGGTATGTAGCATTTACCATGTAACGATATAGTTAATGTATAATTCGTTGCCTATTACTAGAGGTAAGCTTATTAGAGGCTAATTCTATCTATTCATACAACCCCACTTCTGCGCGAAGCTTAAAGGAACTAGTCAAACAAACTAGGGCAGAATTCTTCCGCCTATAGCTTACAGGGTTTTGTAGAAATTAAGGTCTCGGGCGCCTGTATAGGCACAGGCAAAATACTATGAATAGCTGCACTATCAGATTTGGGTCCAGAAAACACAGGAAGATTGGAATCCGAGTCCTGATGGCGCTGCTGCTTGATGCGCAATGGAGAGGCAAGATCAACCTCACCATCATCCTCATCATCATCATTGTCATCTTCTTCCCTTTCTTCAATGCCTCGAGCAAGCATTTCGGACTCGTATTCATCGTCATCTTCCAGTTCACCATCAGACCGATCTCCAGCCAAACCTTGTGTGCTGTCATCACTGTGATCACTTTCATCGCCAGAATCATCCGATGAGAAAATTCCATGAGAAAGATCTGAAAATAGATTTTTTTAGATTTATTATATTGATTCGCGAGGCAGTTATGAACAAAAGCTAGAATTCTTAAAATTCACAATAATAATACTAAAGCATAAGAAGCAAATATATGCTTCATAAATTAATCTAGTGTAAAGTTTTTCAATTTTATCAACAGAGAAAATTTAATAAAATCATAGGATTAAGTTCAAGAAAAATATTAAAATAATGGAAGCCATAAATGGCAAGAATTAAGGCATCAATAGACCATAAGGCTAGATATTGATATCTAGAAGTTTAATATAACAATATAAGGAAATTAAAGTGAACATATATACATATATATACATTAACTGACGTTTTTTGCGACGGTTTTTTCGGATGCCATCTGAGGGTAGATCACCAGAACTCAGAGCGAAGGCAGTCCCAAGAGCCCGGAGTTTTCTGAGACTACTAGGGTCTGAACTCTGATCATCATCATCGAGGCAATCCAGGGTATCTCGAGAATCCGCGCAATGGGAAATCAAGTCATCAAGAGTGAATTCATGATTCCTAGATCTAATTTGACAAAACAAGAGATAAAATAATATCAATCACATGTTCAGAAATAAATTCTGTTTAAAGTGTATGGTGAGATGCTTGAGAAGAAACAAACTTGTTACTTACACTTAATACTCGTAAGTAAAAATTCATGATTCCTAAAGATTTTCTAAAGTTCCATGGTATCCAAATAAAGGTACTCGAATCAAACAACCAACAGAATAAATTGATATTACCAAGGAAAAAGTATGAAATCCTTAATAATAAAATAAACGTGCAAGAGTAAGTCAAGAGGGAGAGTATTGTTAGCGCTGGATTGCTATTGGGAGCTGAAGCTCGAAAAGAAAGCGAACTATCTTAAACGAGGTCTGAATTGAGTGAGCAGAGTTGTTACTACTGAGGTGAGCTTGATTCATACTTGG